CCATTTAATTCTGTGGTGATTGTGGTGGTGATGTTTATCTTATTACTAGAAGTATTAATAGACTCTAAAAGATCACAGGCCCAGGATTCTGTATGTACTGCACATTTACATTTTAAGAATCAACTTCACGCTCTTTGACTTGGGGAGTGCAGACAGCATTATCTAGGGCTCAGATACAGACATAATACCACAAAGGTATAATAGATTAGCATTCAGGGTTGTTGTAAGCATTACTAAGGCACATTAAATAACTTGAGCATTTTAAATTCACTACAGAAAACACAGCTGTTTCGGGTAGTCTTTAAGGCAGAATGGATTCTTGCTTAAAAGATTTAAATACTTTGAAATGTTATGTTATTGCACACTGTCTTTTTCCCAGTTCCAGGACTGACAAGCTTGAATGTTAATTTCTGTATTATGTGTGTCTGATGACAGATTTTCAATTTTTCCCCATTCTGAAACTTTTTCTGCAAAAACAATCTGGAAATGTCATTGTCAAAAATCCTAATACTGTAACTCAGGCATTGTTTGTCTTGAACAAAACAGAGCATTAAGTCACAAATATGTCTAAGTCACTACCTCATTTCTCCGCATGAGGATGATGTCTTGTATGTAGGAAAGCAGCTGAACCACCAGGATGGGTGGCATAGTGAGCCAGGACATGGTTGCTACTGAGTGATCAGATGGGCAAAAAAGCAAGTGAGCACATGGCAACAAACCTCAACTCCTATTCTAGTAGATAACGAGCATGTGCTATTGTTTTTCCACTCTGCCACCCACCTACTCTAATTGGCCTGGAAGATGGATGGCATACCAGAACAGAGCAATGAGCTCTTCTCTGATTTGGAAATGGGAGAGGCAACTGACAAAGGAAGATAATCAGAAGAGCAGCTAAGGGAGAAAAATAAGCAAAAAGTCAGAGACGTAAATTTGTGACCCAGCCATGTGCACTACCGTTTGTTTCTCATCCCTGCACATGTGTTTGGGCAACAACAGTAATTTTGCTGACTAGATCTTCTTTGCCAAAGTAGCTTATTTTCCTATTTCTTGCAGAAATGCCAATTTGTGGAAAATGTAAGTTTTAATGAAACATGATCTAAAATTGAGCAAAGAAAGCTGACAATAAAAATCCAAAACTAAAATCATGGCTTGTCTTACTTGCCCATTGCTTAGGACTCCATAGACCCTCCTTTGTCAGTGTCAGCCCAGCTGCCTCTCATCCAGGGAAGAGAGGAGGGGCAATTACAAGCCAGGCTCTAGTTGGGTAAGAATAAGAAGGGGCCACTGGATAGAAGCTCCCTGGCAGCTTAGCTCAGCTATGATGACGGTGGGGATGATGGGGGGGTGGGGGAATCACTTGATATGGGAGGAACCATTTGTGGAGTGTTCAGGATTTAGAACTAATGCAAAATGTTGTGCCAGATTGGCATCTACTGTATATTATTGAATAAACCACTTTAGTTTTGTATCAATGATGCTGACTGCTGCTAGAACTGTGCAGAACTTTGAAACAGTACTTCAATTGAAGTCCCCTCCCCCTTTAAAGACCTTGTGAAATGTGAAACACTACAGCACTTTGCTTTTAACCAGCAGAATTAAGTGGTCTTGGAGCATTGCTTTGGTCATCAAAAGTGGCTTCTAGTTTTGATGACCAAAGACTCTTATCTCAAAGCAATGCAAATCTTACCAGTAGATTGGCTCTGCCATGATGCTTCAGAGAAACAAAATAATGTGACTTCATGAGACGAAAGATCTTTGTAAGTCAGGTTGGCCACAGTCCAAACAGTTCCACTGCCAACTAACTTCTGGGCAGAAGTCATCCTGTTGGCTATTACCTATAAGTGATTTGGGGCCAGAATATCTGAAAAGCCTCTTGCTGTCCCATCACCAAAACATACTAGATGAGTGGGAATATAAAACAAGACTTTATCTTTGATGTGATTAGAATGCTACCTTCTTCATTTGGTTTTAGGTTGACTACTAACATGCACTTTGTTCCACATGGCTTTTAAGCTATATAAAATATGATAACTTTATTTCTTTAAAGGACTATGTTCCTCCTGTTTTTAATTTACATGTATGCGCACATATGTTTTCAATTCTTATATTACTGTAAATTTGTACATTGTAAATTGCCTGTGCAGACCATTCTGGGCCAAAAATTGGTCACCTCTGCAAAACATTGTTGGCAAAAATAAAACACCTATTGTTTTTCCCCATAGATGTCAACTAAAATTAACTATATGCAGAAATTGTACCAAATATGCATAATTAAAAGAAGTCTTTCAAACATTATCATGCAATGGATATAAATAGGTCATTAAGGAATTCAGAAGTATTCTAAAAAGTTCCTAAGATTAGGCAATTTACATCTTAGTTTCAGTCCAATTAAGGAAGATATTTGAAGTAAAAAACCAGTAAGAATTTGGGGAAGACTAAGATAATCTCTCCCATCAGAAAGGAATCGATTACATGGTAAAATGCTGGTCTCCAGTGACCAGCAAGCTATTTCATTTCTAAGGAAATTATTACTGCTAGGTTGAGCTAGATTTAAAAAACACAAATCTTTTGTCAGAAGCTCCCATTTTCCTGTAGAGATTCATCCCATCATATGTCAATAAGTAACAAACATGAGTGAATGAAGGACATCCTGAGTAGTCTCAACTGTATGTTAGCATATGTATTTTTCCCTTTCTACACTCCAAAAGGCTCCCTTGAACAATCATAGCTGCAAATTCCCAATAGGGGGAATCAACTCTGCTGTTGTTTTTCATACACACATTTCAGGCTAAAGAGAGATAGAGATGTAACTATCAGGTTGTTTGTTTGTTTTTTACACCTTAGCCAATGCAAACTTTAATTCCAAATTTATTTGTTACAGGTCCAGGTTAGAGGCAATATACATATTTAAATTCCAGGCTACATCCAAATAATTTGTTGTACAATCAAACCCAAGGACAAAGGCGGTACACACAAAGGGGGCACTAAAATTGCTCCATCTTAGTTCTTTATTGCAATAGAATACAAGTTGATGTTCATTTTCCAGATGACATCATGGTCTATAGAATATACAAGCAAACTAAAATACTGGCTGTCAGAAAACAAAGGACATGGATCAAATCTCATCTTCCAGAAGGCCCGGATGTATCACCAAATTATCTTGGAAGATAAATGCTACTTTGTAACCCTTCAAAGTTACAAACATCACAATGTAAAGAAACTATTAAAATAATAATTTCTTTATATCAATATGTCTGAGGAGATTGCAGGCCACTGTATTTGAAGTAATACAAAAATTACTCATAGTTTCACAATTTATTGTTCTGATCACATCTGCTGAAATCCTGTAGATTCTCATAAATGAAATACTTTAATTTCAATTTTTTTAAAAATTAGTTTGAATTAATGTGTAGATAGGCCTATACATAAAAAGGGCACTCTGCACAGCTGTAGATCAGTTGTGAATACCAATCTTCTTTTTACTTTATACTTTAACAGGATGCAACAAAATAAGAGTTCCTTTGAGTATGCTAAGCTAAAAAAGGAATAACACTCATGACAAACAACAAAACAGCAGCAGCTGAAGCCACAAGAGAGAGGTTGCATCACCTCAGTGATAGTAACACAGTAGATGCAAGATTGTAAGGACAGCTGATTTACCTTTAAAAAACACAAGAGAAATTGAAAGGCATTGTTTGCTTCTGTTCTATAATCACCAATTTGGCCCTGAAAAATATTCTTCCTTTTTTAATTTCAATCTGAAGAAAGCGTTTATAGGGAAAGCAGATAGTGTAATTTATAGGCACACCTGATAGAATATTTTTTTGTCCTAATAAAAGTAGAATACTTGTGTTGACATCTCTCCTGGATAATTAATGGCATAAAAAATAGAAGTATGGAGAGCAAAAACAGGAGCTACTCTTCCCTAGGTTTAAGTCCGCCCAGAGTTAGGTTGACCTTTCTTTTCTTTCTTTCTTTCTTTCTTTCTTTCTTTCTTTCTTTCTTTCTTTCTCTCTCTCTCTCTCTCTCTCTCTCTCTCTCTCTCTCTCTCTCTCTCTCTCTCCCCCTCCCTCCCTCCCTCCCTCCCTCCCTCTTCAATCTGGTTCACAGCATTGCTATTATGAGGAAAAATGCACTATGCCTTAAATTCCTGGAGGAAAGGTAGGAACAACAAATGTATTATTTCATTCATTAAAGTGTAGGAAAAGGGTGCCTGGACAATTACAGCTAGAGGCTTTCATCTATCTTCCACCAATCCCTTTCTTCTCAAGGTTTATAAACAGTAACTTCTGCATAGAAGATCCACACATAAAGCAAAATACTGTAACATTCTCACATATGTATTCTAATAAATAAAATAGAGAATCCCCGATCTTTGCAACTGGAGAAGAAAAACTAAACATCTGGGCCACCGCATTTTTTATGGCGGCTTGAAAAGAAGAAGCTGAACCGTTGCTATTGGCGACATTGAATTCCCGCCCGTTAATGAGAACAACGCCAGGTAGGGCCAAGACTTGGGGCGCTGTAAAGCAGGCTCCATTAACAGTCACTGAAGGAAGGGAAGGGAAAATTTCCTCTCCAAATCGACCGTTTTCGGTCTCCAAAAGACCCATCAAGGGGAGCAGGCACCAGAACTATCCAATGACTGAGTAACTGAGAGAAGCACACCTTCCCTTCGAGTCTATCGGGCGATCTTTCCTTACCCCCTTCCCTTTTAAAGGCTATCCGGGCCAAAAGATACCAGTCCCTCTTCCAGCCTCTCCCGCCTTTAAAAGATGGAGCGTCTCAGCGTACCTGCGACCCAAACAGAGCGGGGAGGGGAGGGGAGAGGAGGGGAGAGGAAAGGAGAGGAGAGGAGGGAAGAAAGCAAGCGCGATGCCATCCTTTCATGGCATCACCGCCTGGCTTCCTAGCACATTAGCTCCGCCGCAGAGCTGTGTAGCTGACCTCCTCCCGTTCATGCACGCAACCCCTTCCCGGAGAAAGGGGACTGCCGTTACCTGCCGCCAGCTAGGATCGGATTGCTGCAGCGGAAGAGGGGCATCATTGCTCAGCCCAGTACAAAGCACTGTCCCTCGTCTCGCTCCCCCTCCTCTCTCAGCGCTGCTGCCGTGGATGGCATCCAAACGCCCATCTACGGGCCATTTTCCGGGGAGCCTCCTGGCACATGCCCGGCACCGCTTCTCGCCGAGAAGGAGACTCTCGAACCTTTCACGCCCAAGAAGACGGAACACAACACCGCCAGTCCCCACGGGAGAGACGCAGCAGGGAGGGAGGGAGGGACCGGCGGCGGCACCGACAGAAAAGCTCAAAGAAAAAGGAGGGGCGATCTGGGTTACCTTTCCGCAGGGTCCAGAGGAGCGAGTCCCGCACCGCCGCGCCCGCCCGAGCCAGAATCCAGGGAGAGGCCGCCCGCACGGCGGGCCGTGCTGTACTCCTTCGCTCCCTCCGCCTCGCTCGCCGCGACGGCCAGCCTTGCGCCCTAGCGCGCGCGCGCGCGCCCCCCACCGCTGCGGCTGCGCTCCACTCAGTGCTCAGAAGAGCCGCTGCAGCGCCGCCGCCGCCACCTGTCCAGGCACGGCGAGCCCCCGGTCACCGCCATCCCCGCCGCCGGTGGGCTCCTCTCCAGCGGCCCCTGCCCTGCTCGCTCTTCTCCAACCAGAGCCCGGGCTGGCGTCGCCCCTTCCCCTCCCCCCCCGGAGAGAGAGAGCGAGCGAGCGAGAGAGAGCTGGGCGAGGGTCTAAGGGAGCCCTAAGCGACGGGCCAAGCGACGCTCCCGCCGGTGTCCTGGCCCCAGGAACAGTAGCGAAGGACAAGTGAGACCCCGGAAGTGCTGTGGGCCGACGGCCAAGACTACGATGCCTGGAGGGATGGAAATGGAGGAAGGCAGCACCTCTCCCCAATGAACGCCGCTCTTAGCCCCCGGACCGAAGCCCCACAGAGCCGAGCAAGAGTGGGAGGAGGAGAGGGAGAAAGAAGAGAGAGGCGCGCTGGGAAAACCTGGATCTGGATTCACTGGAGTTGCGAGCTCCACCTACAGCTTGGCGCCCTCGAGTGAGCCGGGGAAGGGGTGAGGAGGTAAAAACGCAACGTGCTCCGTCCGACTTTGGTTTCTCGGGCAGTAGTGGCGATAGATCCCCGGCTCTGTTGGACGGTTTATCTCCTTTGCTTTTCTTACTGTCAAGTACGTTAGGAGGAAATTGCAAGCTGTATTTCTTTCTTTTCCACCTCTCGTCTTCAACATTTACGAGTTCTTTCCCCAGCTCTGTAATTCCAAGTCCTCTTTGGTCATTTCTTTTTGATGCCTTCAGGTCTTGGAATATTCCCACATTAGCATTCTCTGTAGGCATTGCATGAAAGAGCTGCCGTTTCATTTCCAGTTAAAAAGAATGCTCCTCTTCGATATCTTCTCTCTCTCTCTCGCCCCCTCCCCATCCCACCCGCATACACAGATTTTTCCTGCTTTCCATAAGACCATTTTCTTCCTGCATCAGGGACTAGCCTGAATCACAGGCATGCCTATCCTTGCCAATGTTTTTTCCCCTGAATTGTTACCTCTTACTCTCCCACACACCTCCTCAGAGTAAACAACACAAAAAAATTGCAGCAGCACCAGTGCTATGACTCAGATCAGGCTGAGAAGTGAGGGCAGGCTAATAGGTTGGGTATAAAGTCATTTGTAAAAAAAAAAAAGGGGGGGGGTGCTAACATTTCACATGTACAACTCTATTTGCTTCCCCCTATTCCTCTCTCTGTTCGCACAACTGGTGCAGCTCTGCAGTAAATAAAAATGATCTTTTGTAGCCAGGCTTTGTATAATCTTAACTTCTCAGTGTATGGTTTTACAGTATTGCTGTATTGTACATAAGTATAATAGCCCTTTCTCTGAGAATTGTTGCTGGATGCAACTATCAGAAGACGTTTTACATTAATGAAATGTAGGTCCTGTAAGGATTCATTGGCATATAGTCTTTAGAGCGTACTGGGTTCTCTCCTTCAGCAGTGTGAATATTACCTTTTCCATTCTTCTCATAATGAATATTGGAAGGGGAAACTACAAAATAATTCAGGTTATTGTGTGGGCATGGTGAAGGATTACTGAATCAAATAATCAGTGATAATAAAAGGATTTGGATTGGAAAAAGGATTGAATAGCTAGCCTTTTGACTGAAGTGAGACAGACAGACACTGGGATGTATGTATATTCTTATATCTGTATGATCAATTAACCACAATGTATCAGTTTGCACTATCTACTATTGATTTTATAAACTTGACAAAAAACAAAGTGGGAGACTTTTGTGGAAAAAACACCTATGAAAATAAGCTATTGTTTTCGAGAAGCGATAGCTACTGTCTTTAAAACAGGAGGTCAAGAACTTAAAATGAGGAATTTACAATACACAGCATGGTGCAGCTTTGCATTTGGTAACCTGCCTGTACAATACAATTGTTTTTGCATTTGTTATCTGAAAGCAAAATTATAACAATATCTGTGGCATGCCTTATTCTATGATTTGCATTTTCCTATATACACAAATATTGCATTTCAACCTACAATTCTATTTTTTTCCACAGAAAATAAATGAATGGGATAGGTAATTCTGTAACAGACAGAAATACAATTCAATATTATCTTGCTTATTTAGAGAAATATGCTGGAAATAAGAAAATGAAACATAGAAAATAGAAATCATAGCCTTAGGTATGTTGTAGGTAGGGTTACCTGTCCTGATAATATCACTTATAAAATAAATCTTACAATAGTAGTTGGTTATAAACTGAACATGATCAGTATTGTAGATGCAAAAAAGCCAAATACCATTTTATGCTATATCAATGGAAGCAGAGCTTCCAGATCAAGGGAAGCAATAATTCTATTTGAAACAGGATTATGTAGACTTCACCTCAAATACTGTATTCAGTTCTAGGCACTACACTTTAATTCAGATAATTTGGAACAATTCAGAGATAGGCAACAGGGATCATCACTGTGCTAAATCTGAGTGCTATCTAGAGAGAATAGAGCTTTGTATAAAACTTCAGCTTTCTAAATGAGGACATAGTAACTGTTAGGCTATCTCAGTCCAAATAGGGTTATATTTGGCATTTCAGCAGGGTCTAATAACAGATTTCTGAGCCCTGGTGACCAATGGCAATGATAGATCCAAGAATAAATCCATTTAATGACTCTAATTCTTTATTTATTTATTTATTTTATTTTATTTTATTTGTATAGCGCCCTTCTCCAACAGGACTCAGGGCGGTGAACAGCCACGGTAAAACATAACATATAAAATCTAAAAGCAGTATTTTTACAGCTTATATTTACAGAATATCTGCCTTGCATGAATTGATGGTAAATTTATTGGCCCATAATAAATGCTCATTTCTACATAAGCACTGGTTTAAGATATTTTTAATGGCCACAGTCTCAGCTGACCCAAATCATCAAGGGCCCAGTGTGTAACTATGATCACACTTGGAACTGGCTTCCCTGTTAAGAAAGGAGGGGTGTGTTCTGGGATGGGAAAGAATATCATAGCCAGATGGCCAGATCACATTGTTGTTGTTGTTTTTTAAAAATCATAAATTTGGGGGGGGGAGAGAATAAAATAAGATCCCGATAACTTTGGAAAAATTAAAGTACTCTTGGCTAGGACTTACATAAAACTTAATGTTCTTCCTTAAATGGATTTCCCGTTCCAAGTGGCACTAATTTCAGTCATAGACAAAAGCTTGCAGAAATAATTAATAAAAGATATATGCAGTAGGGGGAAAACTGAGTAAAATTCAAAATTTTGCAAGATTCAAAATAAATTGGTGGACTTGCATTTCCCACCTTTAAATTATATTAATGAGCAAATTGTCTATTATGACAATAGAATGAATCTCTGAGCAGCAGTCATAGAACTGGTTTAACTATTGGACTTCATAGGTATTTGTGATATAAAGAAACAACAGAAAAAAAGAATTTGAAGGGATAGGAGGAATCTGGCAATCTCATCATTAGCATCACTGTCAAATGCTTTTTACTTCAGGGACTACTACAGTTAGATTTTAATCACATATGTCCATATTGTATGTTTGGACTCATGAAATAGGCTGCCAGCCCAGCAAGTACTGCCTAATGAAGATAAAAATGTTATCTAGTTCTCTATAGTATTTACTATAGCAGATTTATTTACAAATTGCTGGAAGAATAAAAAGTGATCTCAAGTAAAAGAAAAAAAGGATCTGGAGAAAGATGACAGAATTTCAAACACTTAAAAAAAAACAACCAAGATCATCTACTGGGATATACTGTATATATAAAGTGTTATTAAAATATGATAGGAAAATGGAACAAATCAAAAATTTTACAGTTAGATGATAAAATGGACGCCAAATTTGTAAGAAGTAATCACAGTAAAATAATAGGGAAAACTGTGAAAGAAAATTAATAACTTTTACTCCAAGCTTTAATTTGAAGGAAAATTGGTATAAAATGTTTTACAAATGGTGCCTAACACCACCAATATAGCCAAATCATATAACAACAAATGCTACAACAAAGAAGGAACATTTTATCAAAAATGGTGCTCAAAAGCTTCTATAATAATAGAATAATAATATTTTTCTATTATGAATAATTCCAGAAAACAAATGATAAGTATCAGAATCTACTAAGATATATGCTGATAGCTACAAGAACAGATTTGCACATCACTGAAAAAATTAAACTTTGCCAGTGATTCAGAACTGGGAGATCAAAGTATTGAGAAGTAGCAAAACTGACAGTATATAGAAGCTTAAGTAAATTCAAGCAAGAATCGCTCCTTCATATATGATACATTAACACAGCACAGCCAATTCAGATATTTGGAATACTGTTTGGGGAGAAAAGTTAAGAGACCAATAAAAAAACAATAGATAAAGTGATTTGAATAGATACTAGCAATAACCTCCAATGTTTAACATTCAAAGTACAATAGAAATATTTAAAGAGGGATTAGCAGTTGGGGAAATAAATGATATAAGGGAAAATGGGTTACCAAAAGTCTTCTTCATGATGTTTTTACTTATATACTTGATTAATACTGACTTATTTCCTACTTTGCTTTTTGTATCTTCATTCTTGTGCAATTTCTGTTCAAATAATCTCTCAAAGTATTTATGCAATAAAAAAAATGTTTTTTAAAAACTCCTTTTTGATTGCCTTGGAATGTGTCTGAGCTGCTTGCTGTCTGTGGAAGGGAGGCAAGACCTGTTTCCTATGTCCATCCCAGGCATCTGATGGACCTGAATGGGATTCAGATTGACGTCGTTCCTGAAGGTTTAGTACACAGTACAAACATTTGTTTTGGTCAATGCTTGGAAAGAATGATGGAGACCTTAGATTGGATGAAGTATTTTCTTATAGATCCTGGAGTTCCCTCAATTTATAGTGGCTCTCAGAGAGATAAGACAGATCAAGAGATGCACAGAGCCCCATTGGAGCTTGATAGGGGATGACCCAGCCTAATTTGAGCTAGAGCCACTAAAAAGGCCTACTTCATAGTAGTAAGGGTGGCAAAATGCTAATACTTTTACACCTGTATTGTGTCTGTAAAGAGTTGTCCAGCAACCCAGTTTTTATGAAGCTGATCCCTTCTTGGGAAGAGGCAGTAGCTGGAGGCTCATTTACTGTTCTACTATGGAGTATATTCGGCATCTGTTGGATAAAGTCACTGGGATTCTCTTCTCATTGAACTCTGGCCTTAATGTAGGTGCCATGAAGTTGAGCAGTCTGGTCTTGTTATTTGGACTGAGTTTGATTCTATTGACTAAAACAACATTGTTTGTGCTTGTGAATAACCACCTGCAGGAGTGAGGATGGCCATCCTGGTTCTCCCTGATCTTTCAACAGTTTTCAATATCATTAATCATGGTATCCTTCTGGACCGGTTCCAGGATTTAGGAATAGGGCACACAGTTTTGCACTGGATATCTTCCTCCTCCAGAGTCAATTATGTAGATTCTTATTCTCAGGCATGGTAGTCACACAAACAAACATAAACTGAATTAATATAAAACAATTTCTTCAAAGTGCTTGTGAC